TAGGGAAAGCAACAAAACCACTAGTACCAGCAATCAAAACATTAGAAGGTATATTTTAATAAAAATTTACACAGTTAATATAATAAAAATAATTAAAAATTTTTATATTGCAGGAAAACATCCAGTATCATTATTGGGTGAATATTGTTCAAAACGAAAACTTGGTGCACCAGTTTATGAACTATGTTTTGAATGTGGACCAGATCATAGAAAAAATTTTCTGTTTAAAGTATGTAACCTATTTATACATTCCTGTATTTCCAAATTGTATATATTTATGTTTAATACTATACTTTAGGTTAAAGTAAATGGAATTGAATATAAACCAAGTGTTGCAAGTCCAAACAAAAAACAAGCTAAAGCAGAAGCAGCACAAATTTGTTTACAAACTTTAGGATTATTACCAGAACCTAATCCTATATCTACTGCAAAATCTTAAACTCCTAATGATAACTTTTTTAAAAAAGTAGATATATTACTAAATAATTAAGAAAAATTAAGATGATAAAACTGTACAAAAATTGTAAATTAAAACAGGATAAGTTCTTTAATTTTGTTGTATATAATTAACTTTTAACATTTTAACATATTTCATTTTTACTATTAAATATTTGAATATTTAATACTAATTACTATTTAAAATGTACACATCAATGCATATGGTGTAAATAAAACAAATAAATTATATATGTATAAATATCATATTGTGGAACCTTTTTTTTTTGTTTACATATTTATCTTACATAATAGATGGTAGAAAAGAGTAAAGCATATTGACTGTATAAATTCACATACTTTGATATTATATATATTTTATAATATATCTTTGACATCGACGTTCTACATACTTATTACCTACAATATATGTTTGATAAATTGTTTTTTATATTATATTACAATTAATTATAATTCTTGAGATAACAATTTGTTATAATAATTCATATAATAATTATTGAATTGAATAAAAGATGTATACAATATGAGGTTATTATTGATATTAGATATTTAAAATGTTAAAATATATTTTTTAAATCTTAATAATGTTTGATTTAACATTTTATGTTTTTATTCTAACACGTATTATAATCTTTTACAAAAAATTCACAATTGTCATTTTACTCAAATAAATAGAATGTTGGCATTACGATTCACGATTGGCGTTAAACTGTTATGACAGTGAAACAGCGACAATTTAATTTTTTCTGTGATGGACGATGTAGAAATTCCAATTTTTTACGATGATGAAGGTGATTTTGTGGGACATGAATATTTGCAAGATGTGGAATATGAATACGAATATGAGGATATGGAAATAGAAACTTTATTTGAATTATACCAATATTGTCTCCGACCTACTATTTATGATACAATATCATATATACTACCACTACTTGTTTCTACTATAATATTTAGATTATGTGCATATTCTCGTAAGGCATACTTTTATAAATATATCAATATATATATAATTTGAAAAAAGACAGAATTAAAAATTTATGTTTAATGTAATATTACAGACCATGTATCACATAGAACTTTTCATATGCTATCAATGTTGATTGGTATATATAATATTTATCATTATGTGTCAGAATGTTTATACACATTACTAATACTTTGCATAATTTCATATAGTACTTTATATATACACAAAAAATATTGCAAATATTTAGGTATATTTTTATCATCACTTTTTATAACATATTGGTAAGGTGTTTAGATATTAATAATTTTTTTATAAATATCAAAATAATACATGTAATTAATTTTTTTCTGTAACTTTTAACCTTTAGTGAATTTTCTATGCCAGCTGTAGTATGGCATAAAGTACGAAGTGTAGTAATGACTATGGCAATGAAAACAATTAGTATAGCAATAGACAAAGCTGATACAAATGATTTACCTAATATTTATGCCTATATGGGATACATGTTTTGTAGTGTTACATGCCTCTTTGGTCCGTGGATATCATTTAAGGATTACATGTCAATACGTTATATAAATAATCAGGTATATATAACTTTCATTATTGTATATCATACATTTATTATAAAAATTAACATTATCAATACTTTTCAATTTCAGGATAAGTGGTGGATATTATATACTATTCAATATGCATTTTTGTCTTTCCTTTTTTTGACTATTTCAAATTGTTGGGCACAATGGATGATCATGGAAACTTCTTGGAAGTAAGTAGATATTTTTATACAGAGTGGGCCACTTAACATAATCACTTTAATTATTTTCGTTTTTAATTTGACTTTTTCTGTCTTTAGTAACACAATTAATTTAACACAAATCAAGTGTCATTATTTTTTTGTTATTCTTTCACATTCTATCATTTGCTACAAAATAATTTTTTATTGTTTCTTCAGTAACTAAATAATAGAAGATTATCAAAGTAGTTACATTACATAGTTCACTTTGTATATTTTCATATTATCTTCTATAATATGATAGATATTATTCTATGATAAATATTAATTTATTTTTATAATTTCAGGTGGTTATTAGCTTATAGGGATGCATTATCTTTCAGAATGTCTCATTATTTTATCTCATACATTGCATCCACTTTATTACTATTAGGAGGATTTCCATTTACATTAAGTACCATAGTGAAACCATTCAAAATAGAATTTCCACGTTCACTTGTACATGTAGTGATTTGTTGGAATATACCAATGCACTTTTGGCTAAAAACTTGTGTGTATTATCCATATCTACCATCCATATATATATATATATATATATATATTATTCATATATTATTCATATATGTGTTTTTTATAATTTATAACAAACAAAAATATTTATATACACTTTCAGATATTTTTCGTCCAAGTATTAAATACTTAGGAAAGTTTGGAGCTGTAACAATGACATATTTAACAAGTGCCCTTTTACATGGATTAAATTTTCAATTGGCAGCAGTTTTGCTTAGTCTTGGTTTTTACACCTATGTAGAATTTCAACTTAGATTTATGCTTGCTAATATTTTTGATGCATGTATTGCATCAAAGCAGTGTACCAAAAATAAATGTGTACATGCATATAACACTCACAATTCATGGTGGGTGTTTTTAACAAATATGATGTTTTCTGGATTATCAATTTTTCATTTAGCTTATTTAGGCCTTATGTTTGATACATCTGAATTACAAGAAACAGGATATAGTTATGTTCATACTATTGAAAAATGGTCTCAACTTGGATTTGCTAGCCACTGGGTAGTGTTTGCTACATATTGCATATATTTTTTAATTAGGTAGTACCAAGTATAAATAAAATATTTTCTAATACTTTAATAATTAATACATTATATTTGTGTTGTACTGCTAATTCATATAAAGCATGTGCATCTAATATATTATTTAAACAAATTTGAATATAGATTTTACTTTTTTTATACTTTTTATACTTTTTATAATATTTAGTTTGAATTGTAAATATAAAAGCATTTTATACATGCTTGTAGAAACTATTCATGTAAAAATATTAATATATAGGAAATAATATAATTTAAATAGAACACAGTATAATTCTAAATCTTAAAATAAGTAAAATACATAAGTTTTATTAAGTGTACAACATAGTATAAAGTGTGTTTGCATTTAAGTGTACATAAAGCATATTAAACAATTAATACATAATAATTCTGTAAAGTCTATGTACTATACTTGTTAAATAATACATCATTGACAGATTATGTTATTAAGCTAATATATACTAAACTTTAACATAGTCTTAACAATGAATAAAGATATTTTTTCAATCAAAATGCAATATTGCTGCATTTTAAGTTGTACTGCTAAAATATTATACAATATGATAGTAAATATATAATCAGTAGATATATAATTAGTAGACAGTAAAATATTATACAGTAAAGAATAGTATATTTCTAATACTACAACATAATATATTTCATATTGCAAATTAAATTAGTAACATTAGAAGTAAAATATTTTATATTTTGTTTTCTAAAAGTATGACAAAATTTTTCTACGATTTAACAACATATTTCAGACAAAAAAGTTGAAACTACATATGTCCATATGTACATACTCGACTATACTCCCTTTTTCATTGTTTTCTTCCTCATGTAACATGCATATATATTAATAGAGTATTATTTATAAACCAAATGATAATCAACTAAAATTTTGTCAATCAAAAATACATTAACTGTTGTAAATATAAAATTATCTAATATTCTGTCATGAGAGTACATTTTGACTTCTTTAATGATAGCTAGACATGACATAATTCTATATTCAATTTTACTTTCTAAATAAAAGTTATTCGCAATATTAGCAAATTTTAGTCATGAATTAGTTATTTTTTTTTAAATAATTATGTCCATAATTTATATATTAAAAATTTTAATTTAAAAAAATGTACTTTCTGTTTGGTCTTAGATTTTAAAGTCTAACATACCTGTTATATTACATTATTAAAATATCTTTATTACTATATATCAATTATATTGTTTCAAGAAATGCATGAATTTAATAAAATATTTATCAATTTTTAAATGTATATACACATTATACGTATATATACATATATTTTCTTGAAAGAAATCTATAACATTAATGCTGACATATTTAGTAATTTTAATACATATATTATCGATAAAAATAAAAGAATAATTGAATAAAAATCATTCTATGTATTATTTTACATAATATTGTATAAATATATCCCCTTATATAAATATATTTCAATTATTGTTCTATTATTAACATAATAATAAAGTTCACGCAATTCTTTCCACATATTTAAAAATCATTTTATAGCAATTTTAAATATATTTTTTAAAATATAATCTTATCGAATTATAATTTTCGAATATAAAATAAAATTATTTAGCACATATATTTTAAATGACCAATTTTTAGTACACTACTTTAAATAAAGGTTAAATTGTTAAGTGAAAAAAAAGTCACCAAACAATATGAATTGAACTAAATACTTTGATTTACAAATGCTGTTACAGTTAAAAATATCCAAAAGCAATGTCTTTTTCTAATAATAATAATAATAATGATATTATTAATAATAATAATAATAATAATAATAATAATAATAAAAGGCAAGAAAATATATAAACGCTTACAGCAGTTTGCTACCTTAGTTTTATGACCATATTTAACAGTTTTAATGTTACTTAATTGAATATTAAACTTACATTCTCTATTTACAATGTATATAAGGCTACAAAAAGAAAATTAATACTTGTAACTGTATCCTCAAATTATTTAAATAAATATAAAGATTATTGACTTAGAATTATTTTAAACACATTTATATTAAATTAATATTATAATAAAATTTTTTACAGTTCACACTGTTCTTTCGGTACATTTTTTGAAGTATTTATCTTTTGTCTAGAGTAAGATATGATGATAAACATTCTGTATTTTCAGAGATGTTTACTTAGTATTTATTATTTTTTTAGTAAGTAAACAATAATAGTAATTACTATTTTTTTTAATCATCTTTCTTGATATGTTTTGTATTGAAAACAGTAGACACGAATAAATACAAATTATAATAAAAAAATGTAACAGTCTATATATTTTTTATAATCTGTAAAATAATTTGAAGACACAGTTCAAATTGTTATACATCATTAGTATAATTATACTAATTATATAACTATATGTTATGTAGCACTTACATAAGCACTATGAATTGATTTGTGATACATTATGATTGCAATTTCTCATTGAAGAATTTTATATATATAAAATGATCAACATGTCAAACTTTATATAATGTATATATAAAGTTTATGTATTATATATTTTATATATATATACATATA